AAGAGCGGGAGCGGGAGTTGGTGCTGTTTCGTGAAACGGGAGGCGGGACTGGATCGGGCTTCAGCGCTAACAAATATCACTGAGGATAATGTCAGGTTCTAATTCATGAATAATTCCAAAGTGAGGTTGGGCAGGATTTTCTTAGCTGACGTGTTTTACTCTGCGAATAACATGTTTGATAGGGTTATCCCTCTTTGGATTCTTAGCATTTTGTGGCTTTTAGCTGGGAGTTTTTGGCTTGCAAGAAGAGTTTATTTTGTGGTGGTGGAGTGTTGATAGAATTAGGTGCATTTAATTGAAATTAGTTAGCTTTATAAATTAGGAAATTTACTTACGTACCGCTCAATTCTTATGTATTTACATTTCTAATACCTAAACCACGAATATAAAAATTTGTATTTACTTTCATTTTTTTGGGATATGAACGATTTGGGTTTTATAAATATAAAAAGTAAAATTTGTGTGGTAGATATTCAAATACAAAAGAATTTGGTGGTTCGTATGTAAATACTCTTCAAAGTTTGCCTCAAACACACACACACACACACACACACACACACACACACACACACACACACACACACACACACACACACACACACACACACACACACACACACACACACACACACACAAACACACACACCCCATAAACAAGTCTATGTAATTCATTATTAAATATAAATAATTTGCCTTAAACGTCATTTTAATCTTGATTGAGTTGGCATAATAAATAATGAATAATTATTTTAACATAATTAAATCTTTTTAATTAGTCACATTTTTGCTAGATTTTTAATTTTGCTAAATTTAAATGATTAAGGAAAAAGTTTCTTTAATTATTCTTTTTAAACATAGGATTTAACTGGTTGCCCAATTTTTTAATCAAGCGATGTCTTTGATTGTTTCACGTTTTGAAAAACATTTGAAAAATTAGCCAAATCAGATTTTAATCAAGAGGCCCTAAGTTCAAGGCTTTATATATATGATTAAATTTATTCAAAATTTCAAAAATAAATAATAAAAAAAAACTAAACTCTTTTAGCTTTTTAGAAATTGTGCTCCATCTTGTTCAACTCTTAATTCTGATTTATAACGGTCCTCTTTTGCAGAACATGGAAGAATGATTGAAGAAGGATAGAGAAAAAAAAAAGATTCGTTTTTGGGCCCTATGTCTTGTAGCCTGCTGTATCACCCCCATTCCTAAGGATTCCATCAGATAAGAAAGTCTTTATCTCGTCTTCTACCTCTAGAATTTGAAACCAAAATTTCCACTACTAGCAACAGCTTATACCCCCTTAATTTATCTAGCTTAGTATGCAGATTTAAACTCAGTATATAAATTACCAAAATTACAAATTGATCTCTTCTCCATCATCAAATATAGGAATCAATAATCCAATAACTAGCTCTTGAATGGTTTGTAACCTGCTAGCGCATGGATTAGTCCCTGAACAGACCCACAAGCTGCAGCAATGGAAACCATGAGGCAAGCCATGCTCAATATCTGAAGCCAAATCCATGTCTTCGACCACCTCTTAATATTCGCTTGTTTTATGTACATCTCAACGGGGAAGAAGACAGTCAAAGGCCAGAAAGCCAGAGCTCCTATCAGTCCCAAAAAGTCATTGAAGAAGGGAAAGATCATCGCAACCACTGCTGTCACAATTACATAAGATGATCTCCAGACCAAACGGAAGAAGCTGAAGGGGTAGTTCCCAACCAGTGGGAGTTTAATTATGCGTTCGCTCGTCACGAATGAGTTTTCCGGCCATCTGCTCTTGCTTAAGTTCTCCACAAACTGAAAGATTGGTTGGCAGAACACCTGCTCAAAGATTGGTTAGACCTTATGGTTTTTTTTTAAAGTTTATTTAATGTAATGGAAGCTTGACTTACCTGATAGGCACCGATTAAATGGATGGCGATGAATATGTTTCCGATGTCGACAAGCCAGAATGGGTCGTAGAAGCCAAATCCAGTGAGGAAATTGCCCGGCGCTTGGTTTCCAAATGCGGCGTAGCCTAGCACGCCACACAGCATGTAGAAAATGGTTGTGGTTGTAACGCCTACAAAGGTGGCCCTTTTCATTACCTGGTTCTCTGGGGGGCTTGATTTCAATGTGTCCTGCACGTGAGAAGTAATTCAAGGATGGGATTCATATTGAATTCGAACAGTACTAGAGGGGACAAAAGGCATGTGTAGAGCGTGACTCGAGGCATCTTTTTTGCTGTATTTGATCGGACTAATATGTATTTTATGAAGATTTCTGCAAAAGTAAAATTTTGTGTAACATAATAAAAAGAAAAAATTTATACTTTCCCGGATTGAAATGATACCTGGATCTCAATGAGGACGTTAGAGAAAGAGTAAGCGAAGGCTATGTCTCCTAAAGCTTGAAATGTCCTCCAGACCTTCTCACTTCCAGTTACATCAACTCCAACTGTTACTCCTGTTAAGCTTGTTCTCGCCGTTGACCCTCCTGCAACTCAGGAGAGAAAAAAAAAAATTTCAGTACTATTTATCCCTTACAATTTTGTTGTAAGTGTAAAAAAAATTAAAAAAAAAACATTCCACCTGCTATCTTAGCAATGGCGAGACCGAGTCCAATAGAAGAATAGGCAAATGACATAACGGCAGCCACAAGTGATAGCCATGATAGCTTGTGGAAGTTGGGTATTTGAGACAGTACTATCTGTATGCACGCATAAGCAATCATATATGTTGTATTTGATACTTTGCAGGCCGCATGGTGGCCATGCCGGTGGAAGCAGTTTGACCTCTTAACAGCCCTGCTCAGTTAACGAATATCAAATTTCACACAATTATTACACATATTAGTGATGATGGTAGACAGAATCATATCTATTGTGTTATAATAGCTCACGCCATGCTGATGGCTGTTGTGATTGTGTAGCCAATGGTCACCCCAACGAGATTCACATACTGAGCCAGGCCACAAAGTTTAAACTTGATGCCCCCTAAAACAGAAGAGGAAGAAGCAGGACGAGGTATGCTATCAAAACTGTAGAGAACTTGAGAGAACTATAACTGAATCAATCAGTGAAGAATGTTCAAACTTGTAAAATTTTTTTTTCCCTGCGCTTATTATGGCTTACCGAGATTGGATCTGACAGCAGACATGTAACTGTAGTTTCTCTTTCCATGGATGGGGTCAGGCGAGCGATAACAGTCGGCAAGAAGAGAGGAGCAGAACCAGGTGATGAGGGAGAAGGCTAAAAGTACTGCTGGCCCGGCAACCCAGCCGAGCTGTGCAATGGCCCAAGCAAGCGACAATACTCCAGAGCCAATCACTGCTGTTATAATGTGGGCACTTGCAGTCACAAATGTCCCTATAAAGCTCCCAAAAGCTCCATTAATAAACAGCTCATAGTTTTTGATAAAAGTTAAAATTTTGACAGGGAAAAGGAGGGGGAGATCGATGAACCTTTTCTTTTGGCTCTTCCATCGTCGTCGAGGAGGTCGTTGCGGCTGTCTGTAGTGATCTCCAAGGCTGCAGCTTCCTCCATGTAGGCAGCTTTCCCCTGTTCTGGACCTATTGCCATCTTTTTCTTCTAGTTCTAATTATCTTGTTTGGAGAGTGGTGGGGGAGGGAAGGAGGTAAGAGCGGGTCTGTTTTTATAGAGAAGTAGAGAAGGGTGGGCTGGACTGTTGATGTTAATACGGAAGTGGCATTCTTGGCCTTTAGCTGTGTTAAAATTCTGGTAATGCTTAAAAGTAGTTTACTCATTTGATTTAAGCTTAATTTGATTCGGATTGGAAAGACATTGGTACAGTCGGGTCCGTTTGGTTGTCTGTTATTTAAAAAACTATCTCGAAATTTATAACATGCCTCGTGCTTCATGCAAGATGATAAAATTTTATTGGTGGCACTCCATAAAATGACTGGTTTTTTTCTTTTTCTCATTGCCGCTTACTTATCAAATGCATTAATTTGCAATTATTTACTAAAAGTTATCTGTCAGTGCTTAATTTATATCTTAATCAGACTCGCAGGTCATTAAAACATTTTTGCTAATTCGCATATAAGTATCGTGTCAAACTTGGAAGTTAGAAGTGTGTCTCCCAAAGATTTTCATAAGAAGAGTAACGTTTCTATTTTATAACAACTCGAACCGCTTATTTAAAGCGGTTATCTTTGGAGAGAATTTATCTAAAGAATATTAAATTTGTCTCATCTATGATCATTTAATTGTTCTTTCATATAAATCTTTTTAACAAATTTCCAAATACGCAAACATTACTATTATACAAATCTTAAAATACAAATGGGGCAATTTTACTATTTACAAATCAAGCACTCTTTCATCCATTATTCATATTTTTATTAATGAGTATAGATTTTAATTTATATTTTTATGGATTTGATAGTACGAAAAAAAATACATGGGTGTTTGATTTCTAAATATGAATGCATGGGGGGCTCTGTATGCAGAGAAATTATTGCGTACGGACACCGCATGCGGTGTCCGATCCTGACCGTAGATCACGATGATCTGCGGTCAGAATTATTTCCATTAAAAAAAAATTAGGTGGGGTCCACCGAAATACATCGGGACCATAGATCAGGTGATTTACGGTCCGGATCGGACATATGGAATAATTTTTCCTGTATGCAATAATCCGGAAAGCTAAATGGCGTAGATTTGACGTCGGCGTGATTTTTCAGATTCCTTGTAGAACAGTATTATAGTCTAAGAAATTAGTAGAAAATTTTCGCACGTAAAATGCATTGCTTCTACAATCTGATAACATTAATAATATAATTTAAAAATGCATATATATAATAAAGTACATTCCATGGAGTTTTTTTAATATATTTTAATTTCTTTTGTACCGGTGTGCAATTAATCTAAATGTTTTGGGTATAACGTCAAATTTTTTGACATAATATTTTTATTATTATTTTCAATTATGAGCCAATAATGTACATGGTATTCAAATACTTTTTTTTATCTTAAAATTAATGAGTAAGGTGTCAAAATAGTTCCAACTATTTACATGACATTATTTTAATCATAGAGTTTATAGAGGTACTAAAATAATCCTCAATTATTTTAAAACACAACTTTAAGTCCTCAATGGGGGTTATTTCAGCCATAATTGAAAGAGTTTGGAATTATTATGATAATTCTATAAACTCTATGATTAAAACAACTCCATATAAATAGTCGGTGACTATTTTGACATTTTATTCTAGAATTAATATAAAATATTTATACTAAGACTACAAATATTTAAGCAACATCTATCACTCTTCAAAAAAAAAAGGATAAAATGTATCACTGAGAAGATAACTTTTTTTTTACTGTACAGATGTAGTACATCAGAAACGTCAACACAAATCTCAAGGAGATACAACATGATCAGAGACAAGATTACGGCTAGAAGGGCCTACCAACAGAATAATAAGGGGCACACCTACGAAAGTCTAAGGAATTAATTTGACCAAGCGCAATCCCCCGTGAGTCGAGCTTAGAGGCGATTAGATGTGTGTCATCTGAATGAAGGGCTGAAGCCAATCAAGTCGAGTAGAAGGACCAACCTACCTCTCGCTACAAACCTGGCCAAAGGAAAAAGTTCAATACTCCTAACCACTTCACGGATGCCCTCCGAGATTCTAGAAGGAGGGCTAAGGATCGAGGATGTATAGATCCTCGGACAACCCCAAGGATCTCCTTAGTTGAGTGTGAGCTATCTATCAGATTATGATGAATGGATCTCTGCTCGATATCTTAGTCTCATCTCACAGATTGGATCTCCTCATATAGAGATAAAAAAATAAATAGTCAGAGTCAGTTAGCCGGTTGGCAAACCAACCCGACCGAGCCAAATTTGACCAACCCAAAGACACTTCAAGGACAATCTACGTTGGTCCAACATAGCCAACCGAGTAGTCACTTCTGAACCATATGCTTATATTTGTAGGATACCAAAAATATTCTGTAATGCCCCTATTAAAACAAGGAGACAAATGTAATTTCACATATTATACCAAACTCTCTCTATAAATATGAATCATTCTATGAATAAAAAGTTAGAGATTGGGAATGGTCAACGCACTTGTTCTAAGTTATTGTTCATCACTATGTATTTCTCTCCGTCTTTTTTACTCTCTCTCTCTCCCCTCTCATGCTCTATTCATTGGGTGTGATTCACGGACAAATTCAGATCCAACAGATGTATACAATAACAATACATTATTTTAAAAATTTATTTAAATTTTTTCCCATGATGGATTTCAATTCATCGATAAAAAATTATTGAAAATTACATCAAATGTTAATAATATGCCAAAAATAGGGAAAAAAATGTCACACTTAAATGATAAACGAGCTACCAAGCAGCTAACATTTCTCTTAAAAAGGAAAAATGCTGGTTAGGTGTGTAAGATTTGGTTCGTGGTTTGTAGTTCTACTCTAACCAAAATTATCCCACCTAAATAGACTTTAACTGAAAATTGACGCGAATATCTGTCAAGTCATATCAAATGGGTCACGTGTGATGACTTTGGGCCAGTTGGGTTAAGTAAATGTTGAATTTTGACGAAAAGTGTCAAATCTATGGCTTCAATAAATAGAAAGGGCTACAATTATAACGATTATATTATTAATGCGTGAGTTATATTAGGATTTTTATAATTTATAATTCTTGTTGGCAACCCATCAATTTCTTAAGAAATTTGATTTTATGTCTCATAATATCTAAAATTGAATAAACATATCCAATATATACTTTTATTGAAAATGTGCTGAAAATTTCATCTTGAATGGAAATACCCTTAATTTATAAAAATAGAGATTAAAACCACTCGTCCACTCATTTTCCCAATAATTTTTATATCTTTGTCAATCTAATAGCTTTTTCCCAATAATTTTTATATCTTTGTCAATCTAATAGCTTGATTGAATACATTGTTTGCACTCTAAGGGTCTGTTTAGCGCAGCTTCAGCTTCTCAGCTTTTCAGCTGCAGTTGTGCTATCCCAGGAAGCTGTTGTGAGAAAACTGCTGCAGAGAAACTGACTGTCTGCTTGTTGCAGTTGTTTTAGAAAAAAATGATCATTCTGCCCCTGTTTAGTAAATTTGTTTGTAACAGAATTGTGACATTAATATATTTGATATTCCATGAACAGAAATTCATTTCAAAACATAATAAACAAACAAAATTACTCTTTCTCTCGAAGTGGATTCTTCACCGAAGAATATTATTCCAAAATCAAGTAAAATTTTTCAAAATTAAAATGGGCCTGAAAAATTAATGATATATAGAAGAAATTTGGGGGTTTTCATTGTTGAAGCATCATTTTCTCTGCCACCAATACGCGGGATGCAAAGGTTACCCAACAATCCCCTAATTTAATGAGTTTAATGGAAGACAGTTTGGAAATGGTAGGTTTCGGGTTCAACAATTTTAACCATTATGCTAAGAAACATTTACAAGCAAGCATTCAAACATTGCTAAAACCCTTTCACTTCAACTCAAGCAGTATTTAGTAAATCTGGAGGAAATCCGATAAAAGTGAAACTCGCTAGCAGCAGATCCCCAAGCCATCATAGCTTCGCAATCAGCTTGGAGGAGTGAAATTTTCATTTCCTTTTTGGATGAACTACCAGATTTTAACCGAACTTCACCCATATACTCGTGATTAAGCATTCAGAGCTCATAAGACATGCTCTCCCTTCATTTTAAAATATCAAGCTAACAAAAGGATTGAAACAACCAAGAATTCATCTCTTAACAGCACCACTATACCGATAATAGGAAAATAAATAGAGGGGGCTGATACGCCACCAACAAATCATCATAATCCAGCACGAATATCGATGCAATATTTTGAGCACGAACATTCAAACTTCGATTGCGAGTAATCCGGAACTCCGATTTCAGCAAAATTATAGTCAAACTGATTGGCTCGATGAAACGGACCTAATGATATAAAAGTTAGTCCAATCCGAGTCAAATCAGGCTCGGATCAAGTCATTAAACCACTACTACATGATTTTCGGAGGCATTTGAAAGGTCAAACAGATGTCGAATCTAGCGAGTTCATAGTCGAATCGAGCATCTCGAAAAGACGAATCCAACGAGCCCAAGATTACTCAATTCCGACATCGTTAAGGCGCTCAAATGTCCATCAAATGTCATCTGATCAAGGGAAGCTCTCCGGACCGTCCGATCAAAATGGTTCATATTCCTGCATTAATTGCACTCAAAACACTATAAATAGAGCCTCACCCCTCACATGAAGG